TTTCAATGTATTGTGGTACACAGTAGGACTGGGCAAATTATCCGTTAAATCCGATCCGAAAAAGCCGGATATCCGTTTTGAATTAAAGCGAAACAAATCACAAATACTAATTTTAAAAATCCGAATATCCGATCCGATCCGTATATTATTTATATATACATATGATATGGTAGATTTATAACGTATATTTAAATTTTTAATTTTTTAATATTTTTGGCGAATATATTTATAGTAAAAATAAATAGATACTAACTTTATTTGAATTATATTTCTTAACTAAAAAGTATGTATTTTATTTTTACCGTTTTAATATTTTATTTTTCATTTTTTAAACAATTTATCGAATAAAATGATACCCATTTCATATATTAATTGATTAATTAGTTTAAATCTTATATTAAAACTTGTTTTTTGAAAAAAATACTATTGTGTTTTCAAGTTTTTTTTTGTTTAAAACAATATCCGTGAAGATCCGGATATACGCAAATGTCCAGAAAAAATCCGGACATGCGTCATCCCGGATATCCGAAATTTTTCGAAACAAAGCAAATCGGAAAATTAGATCGAAAAATTAGATATCCGTCAAAAACAAATCAAATCACAATACTACATTTTTTTCGGATATCCGATCCGCACCCAGGACTAAGTAGTTCGGCCAGAAAAATGCGTAAATTCGTTTCTTTGAATTTGATGCCTCTAAAAACAAATTCGTTAACATGTTGGATAAATTGAATTTATGACGTGTCACTTCGTCCTTGAAAATAAATTGGACATAGAAATCAGTTAAAAATCCGGTAAGATGATATTTGTGTTATTAACCCTGATATTAGTTGGAATGTGTATAGCACAAAGTTTATGCTTGTAAAATATATATTGCGTCAATCTGATGCAGTATAGTTCACCTAAAAATATTGAGAAAAAAAAAACACTTAAAAAATTTCAACATTTTTTGAAGAATTAAACTTTTGTAGATTTTCATAACTTTTTGTAAGTTTACCGTTCCATTTTTTTCTAAGTTACAAAACAGGTGATGTTCCACATTAATCAGTAAAACTCCTCAAAATGCATACAAAAGAAAACATTCTTTGATCACATCGGGTGACGTCACCAGTTTCAAATAAACCAAAGACGATCAACCCGGTCGAACCGGTTTCCACTTGATTTGGTATTTACCGGTTTTCTGAGTAAAATTGATTTCTCTCACTTCATCATCTCTTTAAACGACACGCGAGGACAAAAGACGAAGATGACGTCGCTTAAATCCGCCGGCCATCGGAAAACTTTCCACGTCGACCTCTTACCTTCACTCTAATCGCAGGTATTCGTATTTTCTGCTCTGTTTCTCTGATTTGGATGCCGAATTTAACAAATTATCGGATAAATTAAACGGATGATTCGAGCTTTGATTCAAGTTATAAATTTTGTATTTTTTTTTAGATGAATTTTGTTTATATCAAAACTTGTTTATGTTGATGGAGCTA